CCCCAACACACAACATCGGGTGTTTCTTTGCTAGCGCTTGGGTCTACTCACACCCTGGCGCTTTTCAGGGTAGGCAAACCCGTCTGTACTGGCGCGTTCAAAGAAACGCCGGTTATACCCACCTTGGTGTCGAGCACGAAGCGTTTGGTGAAGTGGAAGTCGACGATGACGCCCTTCTCGGTGGCCTCGTTGAGCACGCTCAGCCGGCCCTTGTAGCCCTTCGTGTCGAGGAGCGCCACCACGTCCACCACGTGGTACTTGTTCTTGGTGTAGTCCACGTCGACGCGGTACTTGGCCCCCGCCCGCTCGACCAGCAGCCACTGGCGCGCGCGCCCGCTCGAGGCGACCACGGCGCCCGTCACGCGGAAGGGCGCCGCCCAGGACGCCGACGCCGACCTCGGGAAGGAGGCGTCCAGCTCCAGGGTGTGGTGCAGCGACACAGCCGTGCTGTTGTCCACGTACGTGCCGTTGATGACGAGCTCGTGGTGCTATGCGGACGCAGGCGAACGTCAGTAATACATATTTTATTGTGCAATTTATTCGACTTGACCGGCTTGAGGGTGGGCCACTCACCGCGTTGGGCCCGTTGGGCACGGTGACCTCGTAGCGGCCGTGCGCGCTGGCCCGGTAGCGGCCGCGGCTCTGCTGCGCCACGTCGGCCTTGAGGTCTAGCAGCCTCCAGGGGCAGGCGAGCTGCGCGTTGAGGCGGTACACGGACAGGCCGGCCGCCGCGCTGTCGGCCGCGCGCTGCGTCACGCCGTACTCCAGCATGGCGTTCCAGCGGACGTCCTTGGAGTACTGCAGCAGCGCGTGGCTCGACAGGCTGGCGTCGGTCGTGAGGTGCTGCAGGTCGAGTCGGTAGTCGACGCCCTTTTTCGGGCAGGCCAGCGTGGCCTTGAGCGCCAGGTCGGCGTGGTCGTTGGGGTGCCGGTTGCGGTAGAGCTGCTGGGCGGACCACACCGTGTCGCCCAGTCCCAGCTGCTGGCTGCTCTCCCAGTAGCGGTCCGCGCGCTGCGCGTCCAGGGAGGCCACCACGTTGTACTGCGGCCACTGCGACATCTGCGGAGAGGGTGGCGCGTTAGTTGGGCGGCGGCAGACGGTGTGGGGAGGGACGGCACTGCGCCACCGCTGGCACCCACCTGGAGGTTGAAGGACGCGCTCTTTCTGGACAGGGCCCCCTTGTCGTTGCTCTGGTACTTGGCGGACAGGCCCACGTCGTGTGCCTTGGAGGCGCCCAGCTTGTAGTTGGCTGTGACCTTGGCGCTGACGACGTTCGGTGGTGACCAGCGGGCGCTGCCCTGCAGCCCGGCCTCCAGGCCGAGGTCTGCGGCACGCGTCGTGGCGGAGAGGTCCCACTTGTGACCGTTGCGGCTGAGGTCCGCGGCCAGGGCGATGGGCTTGTCGGTCAGACCGCCCACCGTCAGGTCGGCGCTGTACTTGGCGTTGGTCACGTAGCTGACGGCGCCACGCATGTCCAGCAGCGGCCGGCGCTGCCAGGCCACCGTCATGGTGGGCTCGAGGCGGCTGCCCGCCTGCCCGCCCGCGGCCGCCGTCTGCACGCAGGACGCGGCCAGGGCGAGCATCTCGCGCCCGTCCTTGTTGACGGTCACGTCCAGCGAGCGCTTGTCGCGCGCCAGGTTGGCCTTGGCGCTGGCCTCCAGGGCCGCCCACGGCGAGGTGAGCTGCGCACGCGCGCTCAGCTGCCGCGCGTCCAGCCACAGCGAGCCGCGCAGCCGACGGTTGACCCGCGAGCCCGGGGTGTCGAAGGTGGCCGACCACGAGATGGGCGTCCTGCGGGGGAGCAAGCGAGAGGGTGAGATAAGGATCGAGAGATGGACTTGTGGGCGGCGCGGGGGCCTTGCGGGGGCCGCGAGCGCGCAGCCCCCGCGCCGCCTCCGGCCAGGCAGGCTTGTGTCGCTGGCATCATCTCATCATGTCGTGATTAGCGTGGGGTTGGTCGCGATAAGAACGGGTGAAGTCGGTGACGTCAGACCAAACGCTGAAAAAGGAAAATGGTCAGCTCAGCCGCTCGCAACCCCCTTGCACTGCCTGCCCTGCACCAGGCGGAAGTACCCCTGCTGCCCTCACTACTCGGCTTTGGATTGGAACAACCGCCGCTGGTAGACGCCTCCCCCTCCCCCTCCCCGCCGCCGCGCCCCGTCCGCCCTGCGGTAGACACGGTGCTGATGAGGGGAGCGGGGTTGGGGGAGGTTCTCACCACCTCTGACCTTACCTCCCACCATCCATCAGCGGGGTGGGACAGCCAGACGGCCACACAGACGGTCGGTCGGGCAGCCGACGAGGCGAGCGCCCGATTGGATTATAGGACCAGACCGGTGCGCCCGCGCCCGCGCCCGCGGACAGCCTGCTCACGCGCCTGATTAATGCGCATCTATTTGTCGCCTGAAATGAGTTTTTTTTTACCAGCCCCGGAGGGCAACGTTTGTGTGGCGCTCCGCTACGCGCTCCAATATCAACAGAGCGGCCCTCCTGAAACTGGGGCTCAAATTGACTGCCGTTTTTCAATTGTTTGCCTGCCGGGCGGGGGACTGGCACAGAATGTCACCTTCGGCTCGACAGGGGAACGACCCTTAGCCAGCAAGTACTCACGAGGCGTCCGTTGGGTGGTCGTGCTCGAGCTTGTAGATGAACTTGTAGGCGTCGAACGTGTCGGTGCGGAGCAGGCCGACGGAGAGGTTGAAGGGCCCGGTGAGCGGGAAGTAAGGTGCGTCTGGGAAGCGGGAGGCGTTGGCGTAGGACAGCGCGCCGCACAGCTGGAAGCCCGTGACTGTGGCCGCCATACTGGAGGTGCAGCCCTCCGTCTCCTCGCGGTCCTCCAGGATGCCGTCGAGCTCGCGCGGCTGCTCGCGGTGCAACAGGTACAGCCGGGAGGTGACCTCCACGACGTCGACGCGCTCGCGAGGCGTGTGGAGCGACACCTCGACCAGCTTGGCGCCGTCCACGCGCACCCGCCCGTCGATGTAGGTGTTGGAGTGCAGCGTGCTCACGGTGCGCAGGCCCGTCCGCGTCACGTACGCGTTGACGCCCATGTTGGCGACGACTTGCAGGGCGGCGGAGGGGGCGATGCGGCCCTCGACCAGGGCAGCGCGTCTGCTCAGCATCTCGGACAGGTCCAGGCGGCCTCGCACCTGGGGGGAGGGCGGGGCGGTGAGCGAGGCGATAGGCGGTAGGGTGACTCGAGACAAAGGGTGCGTCCTTTTCATCTAACTTCCATCGCGCGATCACGTCGATCACGTCGATCGCGGCCGAGCTCGATCGACGCGCCGCCTTCTAACGCCGCTGCAGAACGTTGCTGCGCATGCGCAGAGGGTTCGCGCGCGACCGTTTCCTCTCCTGCGCATGCGCAGCAACG